ATTGTTTCGATAATTCGTGTCCAGCAGCTAATCATTATTTGATTATTTGGATGCATCAACGATTTTAATTTTACTCCTTCTGAATGATTTATTTGAGTCAAAAAGCACAGATCCATTGAATATAATGATGAACCGCAATAGATCTAACAATAAATTCGAGGAAATAAAATTTCTCTCAAGATACGCAAAACTCAAGGGTATGAAATTTTCGTGAGAATGCAAGGATATGAATTTATGAAGAACTCAAGGATATGTAAATGCAGAAACACTCTCACGGATATGAAATTTTCTGAATGTTTAACAAGTAGCTTCCTCGTAGAGATACACTGTAAATATTGGTTGAAAAAAAACATTCAAATAGAGTGAAAGGTGATCCCGCTAACCAGTTTGGATATTCCACTTGCAGAATAGTCGGCAATCCGGGAAATCATAACCGCTCTCTATTTCACCTATTACGTGGACCTCAGCCATCGGCTTTTATTGGCCCTTACACTGCACGAAACACTGATTTTAGTCATGTTGCTGCCTATCGTTGCTATAGCAACGGACATGTTTTGCGTGTAGCATGTGACGTTGTTGGCTCAACCCTTCACTTACCTCATCCACACGCTCTCTGGATGTATTCAGATCGTTTACTATCTCAAATAAGCCATCCTTCAACATCATCAAAATATTCCAGTTCAACTTACAAATTTATTCATAACTCATATCTAGAGTCTCCACAAATTTATGAGCACATGAATAATTTATCAGCACTGTTTGACAAACAAAAACTCACATTTATTGCATGAAAAACGTCTAAACATGTTCCACAAGTTGTTACGATGAACTGGTCAATATAGCAGATAATGCCAAAAAACGAGCAAAATATTTACAACACTTAAATGCTCAATGTTCGATCGAGATCATGAGCACGATACAATAACCGATCCTCTACGAAAGCAATCAAATGCACTGCAAACGTATCATTCAAAACAATAAAATCAGTGAAATTTTTGCAAAATACTTGAGCGTTATCATTCATATTCATTTGTCACACAACAGTAAAAACCTCACCTAGCGAATTTCTCAATTTATATTGAGAAAACTGTGAGAAAATGCGAACGCAAAACTGCCTCCTTGATACATATTCAGCAAATGAACAAGCTGACAAATGATAANGTTAACATGGATAAATTCTCAGAATTAAATATTCACGTCTGGATACCAGTGATGAACAAATCATTTTATTCACACAGTCGTCACACTGCTTTCCTTTAGCGACGAGGATAGCGCTGTTGAATTATCACCACAAATAACATTGCCACCATTCATAAATAGATTCAAACGTAAATCAGCCTCTTTCAGATAGCTTGTTGGTGACTGACTCTGTAAAGTGTCGCTCTCGAGCATCGTCGATGAACCCACCGATCGTTCCACTTCATCCGGTATGACTCCAATATAACTGCAACTGATAAAAGAATTATTCCACTGGAAGAAGAAGATTCTTGGAAATTGGTTCATGTGAATATTCGACAATTACATATACCATGCAAAATCGACGATCCGAATCACCCTGACTGATAGAACAGAGCTGAAGGAATGCAACAGCAATGCAATGTTCAAAAATAACCTTCTCTGATATGCTGTCGAGTTGCCATTGTGAACAATGTTTCCTTCGTTTGCTTTTGTAAGAACCGATTTCACCATAGATTCTGCTTTTGATTTTTTCGGAATTACGAAACTATTCAGCGAACTCAGATCGGTTGAGTCTGGACGATTGAATGCATCAATATTTGCGCTTCCTTCTGGACGGAACGTGAGATTCGTTATTGACCTGAAGTTGCGAAACTTGTAGAGCAAATGCTTTAACATTCACACAGTGAGCATTAAGATCAATTCAATGCCGAGGCAGATAAACCATCAGTTGCTTAGGATTGATTCCGGAATATTGATCAGGCCGAACATCAGGATTCGGTCTCTAGGTGCTTTGGACGACACTCACTCATCTTCTTCGCTGATGGATCGAGCTAATATTTCTCATTGCACTAATGCGATCTCTCCATTGAAGAGCTAAACGACTGAATGATGCAGTAATAACCAAGCAAATACCTCTGTCCCTGTTTNGACGCGAATGTCCCAACATTGAATGTATTGATACTGATAACATCTGACTGGTTTTTATCGTTACTTTGTTGTCCATTCACTGGGTTTGTATAGTGACAACTATCTGTTCGATTCACAGCAAAGTCCGTTATATTTCTCTCGGCATCATTTGCTGGTTTGCGCGGGGCTGCCTTCGGTTTTGGTGGAACGACTGGTTTTTTAACCTGAACACACCCATGAAATGATTAATTTGTAAACTGAGGTTACCATGGGGTTGTATTTATGATCTTCTGAGCCAATGCATGAAGTTAGACGGAATGTACACAGGTAAGTGGCCCACCACTTCGCGATATTCTGCAGTAGTCTTCCGTGATTGATCTCGTTTCTCATCCGCTCGCCAGTTGGCACCTCTCAACTGCAAAACTTCTGCAGACGTACGAAATTCCGGTGAATCTGCTTGGCACCTACAAATCAATAAATCACAACGCAACTAGGAGTGGTTTTTTGAGTTCAACGGGAATCGAACGAACCATTTTCATTTCAGTGAAAACACTGAAACTGAAAATAAACTTCGAATGTCCAGGGAATGATTAATTGCGTTAACGAAAGCAGAAATAAGATGGAAACCTGTCTAGAGTGAGGCTTGGATCGGCCGTATTTGGTCGCTCACTAACCACATCGTCGATGAGAGTACTTTTTGGTGGTAATCGCATCACATCGAAACTTTTGATTGAGCCGTTTAATGGCGATATTGGCCTGAGAACTAAAAAAAAAACACTGATTACGAGCCGGTCTGCTCGAAGAACGAAATCGCAAAATTTATTCTATGAAATCAGCTAGAACTGTAGCGAATTATGCACTTACTATTTTGTGTACAAGCGAGTTCATCACCAAAACTTGACATCGAATTCCGAACTTTAAAAGAATTCGGTTGCTCGTAGTCGTCAGGAGCGTTTGTGCTGGTTTGTGAGATATGTTCATATACTCTATCGTAGACATTTATCGACGTTGGTTTTGGATTGGCAGTCTTTTGAGGCATACTTCTGAAATGCGCAATTTTATGTGCAGAGACGATTTTCTGTGCACTCACACTCAGTGCTACTCCCAAAAATGGTACCGATGGAACTGAGATGACCGATTCAAAATTTTTGTCTCTGGACGGTGAGATGAATGACCTCTACCCGGTTCATGTCACAAGAACGAGGAGTTTGACAACAGGGATGCAAGCTTTAGTCGTAAATTTTAAGGTCTTCACAAAACAAAGACATAACATAATCAATGGGCCTGATATTTTTGTTGGTTTCATGATAATTTTCGCAATTTCTATGCTTTTGAACCATTAACAAATGAACACTTCTTGCGCTCATCATCTCTAGTCAACGACAAAATTAACTTTGATTACCTGTTCGTGACTGCGATTCCATGACGAGCACCGTAGCATTCAGATGGATGCGGGCTTCTACCGTAGGATGCAGCATCGCATGGTAAATACTCATACGTTAAGTCAGGATCGTTCACAGGTGGTCGATTAGGAACGGGTGGTTTTAGGGCTGATTTCAAAGCCGACTGCAATAGAGTCAGCATCGAAGATTGAAATGCTTCGAATTTTCAACAAATCTAATCTTCTAACGGACGAAGTCATCGATGGCATGTATAATCGACAGTATTATTGATTTCTTTGCTTAAACAATCCAAAATTTGTATTCACTGAAAATTTATTCCGAAACACAAGCAAACTTCATTTGGAATAATTTCACAACACAAGGGAATTTGCAGACTTTAAAAGGAGCGATTTGAAGGACTGCAAAGGAGCATAGAGAAGCAAATAAATACCTTGGGAGTTGATTGCGTGATCGGATCGTGCGCTGAACTGAGTGTATTCGTGGTAAACGTATGGTTACTNNTGCATACGCTGTTCTCGTTGACGTTTTCCACCTTTCTTCACGTTTGGCATCGATGCAGCTCGTTTAAAATTAGCCTCAAAAATATTTAAAGATCTTTTGAACGCTGACTGAAGTTGCGTGAAATTATTCCATTATCTTATAGCCGTTTACGAGGACTGAAGGAAACCGAGCATTGCTACGAAGATGTACCTCATTCGAACTTCTTTGTGTTTTCAGCTTGCTCATATAATCTTTTTCCCATCGACGGAGTGCAGCTGAATCAACTTTATAAACAGCCGAGAATGAGCGTTTGAATTGTTGCGATCGATTAGTGTCGAGTAACGATGAACTATCAGTATCGACGACCTTAAAGAAATATAGCCTCATCAATTGGTAAATATCAATTGGTCGCATCCACCAAACAAAAACTGCTAACAATATCACATATTCGGGTAAAAAATTTTGAATTCAGATCTTGAATGACAGCTTTGACCACATTAAGTGAGAACAATTGGAGAATTCCTCAAACGACTTTAGGAATGAAGCGATTTGTGTTTCATGATTGAATGCAATCAGCACTCATTCTCACCTCTATTTTGACCAGCTTTGCTTTGCCTTTATGAAAAGCGGTTGATGTGGCGATACAGCCGAGGAATGAGGCCAAGAAGTGTAAAACCGTTCCAACAGCTTGCATATATACAGCCCAGCCGAAATATTGCTAAATTCACAGCGGTTAAGTGATGCATCTCGTGAAAAGTTACTTGACTCATCCGGATGCGAAAAAGTCGTCGCCATTGCAGTTCAAAAGTTTCTGATAAAATTTGCATCAGGAACGGATAGTCGTCACAATATTGGACATTCGAAACCTGTGTCCCTTCGGTTGGGGAAAGAAATTTTCATCATTTGCAATGTTTACTGATAAAATATCGTTGGAGACGATCCACCAACGACATCACATTAACAGCGACCACAACCACTGCACTATGCAGCACCCAACTATTTCTTAGATCACAACAACTACTTTTCAACACAATAACACTTTAGATGCATGCTCGAAATATGGAATGCGATGTTTATGCAATATATCGCTCACCTGATAAACAGCATCATCTTCCTTGATGATATTGTTATCTTGATAGTTAGCCCAAATGTAGAACACGAGAAGACCAACGCTCGATAAAAATGCTGCAATTAATCGTTCAATCGATCAACTAGAAATACTTTCAGCA